AGAGAGAGAGAGAGAGAGAGAGAGAGAGAGAGAGAGAGAGAGAGAGAGAGAGAGAGAGAGAGAGAGAGAGAGAGAGAGGATTTCCAAATCAAGGGAGAAGGTAATTCTAGGGAAAAGGTGATGAAAAGATTACGCAGCACTGACCAGTTCCTCTTGCTCGGTTAAACATGCAGTATGTGTCCACGAGGGACAGCATCCCTCCTGCTCTTTCCAATGGTACCCGCACGAAGTCCGCTAGCTGAAAAGAAGGCAAGCCAGAACCAATTAAAGCAATTGAAGAGAATAACAGATTGAGAATGTATTAGATCCCTTGCGCGAGACAGAGAAGAAGTGGTACTGGTAATACAGCACCAGCTGACTTCAACCCTGTAGCCTGTGAATACTTTAAAGGGAATAGAAAGTAGGTAGAAGCACAATGTGAGAATCACGAATCGTTCCCCCCCCACTGAACTACCGCCACCCCAAAGAAAATAAAACAAGAAAAGTTGCATACAGCAACCCGTCAGACATAATCGAATGGACAACAACGAAAATCAGCATGGGACAATGAGAACAGACTGGCAAGAGGGCTGACGATCCACAGCTGGAACGCCAACGGACTGGGCAACATTCTCACCGAAGACCAGTGTTGCACAAGCCGACCGTCGGCGACCCTTGACTGGTCGGCTGCCGACCCGCCGACCGATCGGCTGATCGGCACCTACCAGTCGGGGGACATCAGCACCCCGCACTTTGTTTTTGTTTTTGTTTTTGGGATCCAGAACCCCTGATAACCCCACCCACACCCCCATAGCGGCCCCCAATCCCCGCATACACCAACCCAACACTACCGAACCGTCCCCAACACCCTCATTAAACCCCCCAATATCCCCTATATCACCCCTATACTCCAACCCATACCTGCGCCGTATTGTGTGCGAGCGAGCTCCGCACGTGCGGCGCATAACGCACGTGTAAGCATGAACACGCACGTGATGCGACGGACCCCAATAAATAGGGTATAAATTTTTTTTTGGAGAAGGCTGGCTGAGGTAGCCAATGGTGCACCTCCCCACAGAAAACAAAATTGGGCCCACGTATTCCTTGTTGAATAGTCTTTTTCCCGGAGGACCCCAGCAGTGCATATGCAAGGGTCCCAACATCTCAAGAGACGTTCAGCAAATTCCGTATGAAAGAGGAGCAGGCCAGCAATATATGTCCTGGATCCGAAGTCAGGTCTGCTTTCGAGCAGTTATGGGTTACAAGTTACAACTACTTACTACCGTAGCTCTCTCTTTCTTTTGTTTCTTTTTCCTACGAGCAGTGGCCCTAAGGGCCTTGCTCCACTCGTCACCAGCACAAAAGACAAAACATATGGCGGCGTATGGTTCCATGTTCGAGCAGAAGATTCATTCCTCTCTTTCTTTTGTTTCCTTTTCCTACGACCAGTCGCCCTAAGGGCCTTGCTTCACTCGTCACCACTTGCACAAAAGACAAAACATATGGCGGCGTACGGTTCCATGTTCTAGCAGAAGATTCATTCTGGTTTTGCACATTTGTAGTGGAGGGAAGCCCTGAAAAGCACGTGGTGAGTTGGCCTGCTACTGCCCAGAAACTCGCGTGCTCAGTGGTCCCATAACTGCTGAAACACCGACCTTAAAGTGAATCAACAGCATATATACTTGGCGTGCCATGACTTCAGCATGGTTATGACTACTACCTCGTTCATGGCAAGGTGGCCCTTGCTGATTGTGTGCAGGGGCCTCTCGGGTAACCCGCCGCAGGGGGTTTGAAATAAATATTAAGGAGCCATTTGTTTATCTCCCCTCTCTCTCTCTCTCTCTCTCTCTCTCTCTCTCTCTCTCTCTCTCTCTCTCTCTCTCTCTCTCTCTCTCTCTCTCTCTCTTTTGCGTGTTCTCACACATAACAGCTGGGTTTTTTTTTTGTTTTTTGTTTTTTTTTTTTTATGCCGCATCGGTGACCAGCACACTTGCGCCGCAGGTATGCTCCAACCCCAACCCCCCCATACCCCTCCCCCATCCCAAAAAGTTTCTCAGCGGATTTGGGCTCTACTCGGCAAGCGCAGTACAGCCCCCAACTCAGATTTGAAAAAAAAACAGTGGATGGTTGCTTTCTCACTGGTCGGCAGACCGCCGACCGGTCACCCCTACTGGTCGGCTGCAATACGGTCGGCGGTCGGGGTCGGCAGGGGTACAACCCTGCCGAAGACGACAAACTACGAGACATCAGACTCGGCCTCACAGAAAAAAGAAAGGCCAAACCCGACATCATTCTCCTACAAGAGACCCACCCATCCAACCTCACTAACCACACCAGAATAAAGAGGACCATAGAGAAAAGCCCAGGGGGATGCCCTTTCTCACTATGGTCCAACAAAGCGGACCAAAGCAACCGCGGCACAACAATCCTCATACCAACTACTTCCAAAATATGGTCTGAGGGTCTGGTAAGTAACGGCGAAGGAGACACAGCGGAAGGGAGATGGTCATGGATCCAAATCACATGGCAAGGGGAAGAAATCAGAATCCTAAACCTATACGCCCCCAACACGGAAGTCGAACGCCTAGCTTTCTTCTACCACATCAAATCACTTTTCCCGACCCCGCTACCGCTAATTATAGCAGGCGACTGGAACACTACGATGGACGCCAGCCTGGATCGCATTTCTCGGGCAGTGCTGTTGGGGCACACACGAGCAAGCACTCACCTACGGAACATCATGACAAAGTTCGACCTGGTCGACCCATTCCGAATCCTCCACCCGCGCAAGAAAGCCTTCTCCCTAGTCAAGAGGAACCGATCTAACCACACATCACTATCACGAATCTATTTATTCCGAGACATGCTGCAGGGAGCAATAAAGGAGGCCGGGATCCTACCAGCAGCAGCCTTTAAGGGGCTCGACCACAAACCAACCTACTTGCTCCTCAACTTCAACTCTCCGGTAGAAAAAGGACAAGGCTTCTTTAGACTCAACAACTCACTACTATCCACTGAACGCATGACCGAGGCAGCCAAATGGAACTGGTGGTTCATGCAGCAAGACGAGAAGAAACTCCAAGACAGGCACAAATGGTTCATAGACAGCTATATGGACCTGTCTCAGACGGTCTCAGCAGAGTCTAGAAGCATAGCAGCAGAACGCAAACACATGAAGGAAGAACTACAAATCGTACTCGACATCTCAGAAACCAACTTAGCATCAGATCCCTCCAACTCCTCCTACCACGACTTACTCCAATCTACCGAGGACGAACTAGATGAATGGAGAAGATGGGAACTCAGAGGCCTACAGATACGAGCTCGTATGAATGACTACAGCCTGAATGAATCCATGTTCAAATTCTTTTTTTCCACACAAGCAACCAGCAGCAATTCCTCAACCTTGCGAATGAACAATCTGTTGGCCTTGGCGCTGTAGCAGCTATTAATAGTTGCAGTTGACTGACTTTGCCTGCTTTGGACCAGTGCCGGTCGCCCACGGCCTCTGCCGTATGTTTTGCCGTTGCTGCAAAATTGGACTTTGGGACTGGGCCTCCTCTGTTGGTACCTACAGACAACTACTGGCCTGCAACGTTTCGGTACCCGACTTTTACCGACCTACGACGCTTCGACCTGCGGACCCTAAGACTTGACCTACTGGGCCAGCCTGGCACCGGGACCAACTGGGACTCTGGGACCAGGAGGACTGACAGAATAAAATCCTTTCACCTTGGTACATTCTGACAGTTTCTTACCAATGATTCGAAATTGATAATCCCCGTGAATTGATCCACAAGAGCAGGAGGAGCAGGGCACCGAGCCTCAGGGGCAGTTCCCATACCCATTCTCTGAGCTGATTTTCAGTGGCCGTAGAATCACATAGATCCTTGTCAAGGCTGATGGCATCGAGACTCTGCTCCATTCCCTTCGGCTCTCGGCAAAGCTGACCGCATCAAAAGCCCCTGCTGCGTTCCCTTGTCGTTTGTTTTCTTCATTTGCCTTGGAGGGGGGGGAATCCCTTTAGTAATCTCTCGTAATCCCTGTTCTGTTACTATCCTGGTCAATTTTGAAGAGCAAATTTACAAGAAATTACAACGGCGTCCAATTGCAAAAAGAAATGAATGAAGTCAAGAGGAGAGAGAGGTAAAGAAGAAGAAGAAGAAGAAGAAGAAGAAGAAGAAGAAGAAGAAGAAGAAGAAAGAAAGAAGAAGAAGAAGAAGATGTACACCAGCAAAAGACCAATGAGAATTCCCCCTTCTTCGCAAACCAACTCCTCCTCTTTATATCCCGCTCTCTTACTCAAACAATAAATAATAATAATAATAATAATAATAATAATAATAATAACAATAATAATAGTAATAATAATGCCAGAATCACTGTCCGAATCCCTCTTCTACTGCTTGGCATAACCAAAGGTCCACCAGAACCATAGCCTCCCTCTTCCTTCTCTTCAAACAGGCTGAGGCTATGGCAGGCTACTAAGAGCCTAGCCCTGACATGCAAAAGACAACCCAATCGAGCTATGTCCACTGCTTCTCAGGCCACCATGCCTGACTCTGCCTTGAAGTCTTCTTGGTGCGGGCTACATCAACTGGGGCCTTCCAGATGAAGTGCCTAACAAGGTGATGAAGATGGCATCCACCATAGCCAGGTAAGTACCTCGCCACTCTCCTCCTCCATGCCCTTCTTCCTCCTCCTACCGGCGATGCTCCACCATAGCCGAGGTGGGAGCTCCCGGTCTTCTTCCTGCTCCCCACCGCTGCTTCACCCAGCGCTCTTCCTCCAGTGGCGCTCTGAGAACCAGCGCCCACTCAAGCAGCATGATGCCAAACCTTGCATACCGCAAATGAGGATGAGCCTCTGGCTCTCCTTGAATATGTAGCGAGGCATTTGCGTCTTGGGCGGTGATTTCCTGGCCGCTTGGCCTCCCAAGCAACCGGTACCTACTCCCTTTCGGAGGGAAACATCATTGCAGGCTCTGATATCGTCCGCACAGGCCCTAGACTTCGGCTACTTGGACTGGTACTTGCCTACCTCTAGGCCTACCGCTACTGGACCTCTAAAAGCAGTAACTTTTTGTATTCTTCTGCTCGGCCAACCGCTACTGGGCCTCTAAAAGCACTAACTGTTTGTATTCTTCTGCTCGGCCTAACGCTACTCCAAGTGCTACTGGTACCGACACTACGCTACTTGAGTGTGCCCTAAGCTACCCCTTCGATCACCTAGTGTTTTCCCCTGCTGCAACCCTCAAAGTCACAGCCACAGGTAAGTACCAGCCCCGCGGGCCTCCCAAACAAACGAGTGCCCTGGTGGGCCACACACACACTCAGGCCGATAAGCACTCAGACAGGTAAAGGAACCAGCAGGCACGCACACACAAAAACTCAGCAGAACGCGGGACTCTCAGCAAGGCAAACATTCCAGAGGCAAAACTCAGAAACCAGCAGTGTTCTGAGTCTATGTTTTGGCAGGTCATTACAGTTCTTCACAATTCCCCTTTAGCACATGTCCAATGCATGCTGGTCTGTGGTACATAATGCCCCCATGTTCAGCAGGAAGTTCCACACTTTTCGGATTGCGCATCTGTCCATATGTCAGGACACTGGGGCTGCCAATACCGAAGCCCTCTCCACTTCAGTGTCTGTCAGCAGCAGCACTAGGAGTGGTAAAAGACGGAGGGGATGCACTTTGACTATCAATCAATGTTACTTTGGCCTGGAATGAACCTCAACCACACCATTTCTTTTTTTTTCCTTAACCTTGATTCTGCCAAACTTCAAAATCACACTAGTGCAATCAGACTCGTTCTCAAACACACTTTTCATGCATGTAAACAGCAACGCAGTATACTGGCGACATGCGCCCACTCAAAACTCAGAGATATGGCTTTCAGATACGAGTTCACTCTCAATTGGCTATGGCGACTTCAGCGCCCAAACATCTCACTGTTCACATACACTGGATCACCCTGGATATCCCACACACATCACTCTAACACTCGAACACACACTCACTACTAACTACAGCTATGGCAGCTATGGCTGCCTCTAACCTATCGCTATGCTAACTCCTCCTCTCTTGCCCACTGCGTCCTCCGGGCTCATCTGCAGACCTCCTTGCACAAGTCGCTGTGGCAGCGCTTCCGCATGGCTCACGCAGGAATGAATGAATGGCTGGGCRCTGCCTCTTGATTTATACTTCAGAAACTCGTTGGTCTGCCCTTTGCCATCGGCCCTTGGTGCTCACAGTCCCCCTGTGGTACTTGCTGGACCGGACTGGGACTGACTGGACCTTCTGCTGACTGACTGTGGACTCACCGCTATCCTACCGACGTTGTACTGCTGTTGCACTGTGGTTTAGTCCACCACTTGCCTCACCACTTGACCACTTGCCCACTTGCCTACCTTCTAGAAGGTCTACAGCTAAGCTTCCGGAACTCACTAAGACTCCTACGCTATAGACCTACAGATCGAACCCCTGCTGCCTATGGACCTACGACAGGCCTACCAAGTGCCTACGAATACACAGGTCACAGGTTCAATTCCCGGGGTCTACACAGATACTGTACATGGGTAGGGTGAGGTCTAGGGATCGAACCCTGGGTACTGCATCCGCTACTGCTAAAAGGTGAAAACCGTTTCACTAGGTGTGTTCAACCACTTAATTTACATTTCCGGGCCTCTCAGTCCAGGCTTCAACCAGCATCCAGTCCAGCAAACAGAACAGTCCTTTTGAGAAAGTCCACAAAAACATCATCGGGGAAAAGCATGCACGGTAACGCAAACCAGTCAAGCCCATAAGAGATGGCAAGAACACACAAAGGAAGGCGAATTGAACATGTTCCACAAATAAGGCAATGCACCTACAATATGAAGAAGAAATGAGCTCTCAGTAAAGCAAAGTGAAAGCACAAGCAAGAACGACAAGGGAAAAATGAAGCCTAAGGCAACACCGACATCTTCTGCAGTTCAGGCAATGCACCAACAACAAGACACACACACACGCACACACACAAGGGAGAGGACAGGTGGGTTCACAACACTCTTTCAAGAGCAATGGATGTGACAGGAGAAGGCAGAAAGGGTGGAGTACAAAGAGGCGGTCAGGAGCTAACGCACCTGCCTTGCAAGCTGTTGGTGGTACAGCGCGCCTGCTGTTTCCCTCGTTACAGGGGAGACTATACCAAAGCTGAGCAGCCAATCCTCCATTTCCTGTCGGGAACCAGGCTCGTCACCTGTATCTCCGGAACGCAGTTTTACGCGCATCATTTGTGCTATAGCAACCATCTCCTTTGCTTTAGCCTGATAGAAGAAACAGCAAAATCAAACTGTGTTCAGCTCACCATTCAGCAAACTGAACCACAGAATTGAGTCATTTTTTTGTCAACCACAGTGTATTTATGCTTAAGTGGCCACAGAGGCATGAAGCGGGGAGAGCATCAGCCAGTTAAGTAGAGATACGGAGTGAGAGATTAAGAAACATCTAAAAAAAGCATCAGAAGGTTGCAAAAAGTGGCATGACAGCAGCTCGATGAGACGAGCAACAAGACATTCTCCAAAATAAGAGTCCACTCCGCAACAAGGACAAAGCCGCAACTAGGAGCAAGCGCACACACAGAGCGTTTAAAGACACATACAGCACAAATAGGGCTTCAATAAGACAGTCTCCATACTCCTGTTTTTCCCTTTATTTTAGAAAACCGGAAGAAATCATAGTAGTGAGGATTCATGCTGCAGACACCCAGTCCCCGTCCCAAGTCCAATTGTGGCATACTGTGCAGCCACACGGGCCCTGCAGGGCCCGTCCCGGACTGTTTCCCTACAGGGAAACTTCCAGGCTCTTGCCTGGAAGCTTCCTTCTGACAGGGCCTACAGGCCCCAGCCTGTTTCCCTACAGGGAAACTTCCAGGCTCTTGCCTAGAAGCTTCCTTCTGACAGGGCCTACAGGCCCCAGCCTGTTTCCCTACAGGGAAACTTCAGGGAACTTCCAGGCTCTTGCCTGGAAGCTTCCGCAGGGTCTAGGCCAGGGAGGCATTGGCACGGCCAGCCTCCTGCACGGGCCAGCACTA